TTACCGGAAGCTCTTCCAGCTAATCCGCACCACTGGTCCCAGGAAACCAGGCGTCATTGAGACGGTAAGAGACAGCGCGGGTGCGCTGATTCTCTATAAGGAGCGCTGTATGGCTCGTTGGGCTGAACACTTTGGAGATCAGTTCAGCTGGTCCCCTGCTCCCGGACCCCTTTCAACTCAAGTGATGCAGGACGAGCCATGGACGGTTAGTCTAGAGCCTCCGTCAGAGGCCGAGGTCCGAAACACGATCACAGCCCTTAATCGTTTTCTTGCGGCTGGCCCGGATTCCTCCCACCTGCACTATTTAAAGATGGAGGTGAGGTCCTCTGCAAAGCACTGACCTCCTTATTTGAATGCATTTGGAAGGAAGTGTCCCGGCTAATTGGAGTGAATCGATTACAGTGACAGTATACAAGAAGGGTAGTCGCACAGACTGTTCTAAACACAGGGGTATTAGCCTAACGCCAGTTGTGACAAAATTACTGGCCTCGATTATCGTTCGTCACCTTACTACGGAACGGGAATCTCGGATTAGGGAAGAGCAGGCTGGTTTCCGCTCAGGACCTGGCTGTATAGACCAAATATTCACTTTGCGGCAGGTGCTAGAGTAGCGGCACGCATACCGCAGACCGACAATAGCTGTGTTCCTCGATTTCAGGAGTGCGTTCGATTCAGTCGATCGATCGATTCTGTTCGAAATACTTGCGCGGAAAGGTGTTCCCACGAAATATGTGAAAATCCTACGTGCTCTATATTCCAACACTACAGGCCGCGTCAGGGTCTACGGTGTCCTGTCGGATAGCTTTCCGACCACAAGTGGGGTTCGTCAGGGTTGTCCGATTTCCCCATTTTTGTTCAATTTCGCCGTGGATTCTATCATGGAGTGTTCCCTTACGGAATCTCACGATGTAGGCGTTGAAGTGCTGCCTGGTGAAAAGTTATTTGATCTAGATTATCCAGACGATATCGCCTTGCTTTTAGACAATGTTACGGCGGCCTAAACAATCCTGAATAGCCTCTCTGTAGTACTCCCATTATTTGGTATGCACTTCGCACCTTCAAAGTGCAAAGTGTTGCTGCAGGACCATTAGCCACTTGCTGATCCCTTGACGCTTGCTAACGAGGAAATCGAGGTGGTTGATCACTTCACTTATCTTGGCAACTGCATCAGCAATGAAGGGCGCATAGAAACTGACGTGAGCTCACGTATTGCAAAGGCCAGAGCTACCTTCTTGAACCTGCGACATCTTTGTCGACAGAAGGAAGTTTCCCTTCATCTGAAAGGCCGTGTATACAAGGCCACAGTGAGGGCCGTCCTGCTCTATGGTAGTGAGACTTGGCCGCGTCGGTCTGAAGTTCTGAGGCGCCTTCAAGTCTTTGATCATCCTTGTCTGTGAAGCATTTCTGGAGTCGGATGGCACCTGGGTGTCCGCAACGATGATGTGCGTAGGCGAGTACTAGATGGTGATAATCATGCTAGCTCCCTAGAACAACAGATAGCACTGAATAAGTTGCGTTGGCTCGGGGACGTGCTATGCATGTCTAGTCACCGCTTACCTAGAAGGGCCTTGTTCAGTCTGCCAGGTGTAGGATGCCGCAAGGCTCGAGGTGGACAGAAGTTGACTTGGCAGCGGGGAATGAAGTCACTGACGACCAAACTGGGTTCCGTTGGTCCGTCTCGCCTTCCGGGTTGGAGTCCACGTGACTCGGCTTGTGTTTGGCTCGAGACTTTACAGGACATGACTCGCAGTAGACACCAGTGGCGCGTCTGCTGCCGTCTTCTAATCGGATTGCCTGTTGAAAGTATGTTTGGTGCTGAGTTATCTGCGGGGTAATGGCTGGTTATGACGCGTGGCAGTGAAAGCCGCAAGGAAGCTGTCTCGGCGATGCCGCCTTATCTTTGCACGATAGCCATCTGTTTGTGACGGTACGTTGTCTACACAAGGTGTAGGCGCCTTGACCCTGAATGTTTGCTTAGGGCATTAAGGTTTTCAGGTAAGTCCCCCTTCTCTCCCTCTTCTTATTCTTTATTTCATAGGTCCTCATGGTTGTATGGCAGCGAAGCATCAGTTCAAATGGCTGATGTACTGCTGTTGATGGTGATGCGATAACTAACTTCCGACACAGCACCATCCGAAGGGGGACTTGGCGCCGATCAGCGTTGGACGCCGATCGATCACATTGCTATCAGTTACCGCTGGAGCGGCAGTATCCAGAACTGTTGCTCGATTTGGAGCACATGTGTGAACACCGACCATGCACTTGTATGTGCTGACATGCGGATGCGTTTTGGCGGACGCGCACGACGACGCTGTAAACGCATTGACACCGGCCAACTGACAAAGCCAGCTGTTCTGAATGCGTATCGAAGTACGCTGACATGCGATTTGAGTAAGTGCTCACTGGAGACCATTGATGGTCACTGGTCACATGTTCACCAGGCCTTACTAGTAGCAGGCAAATCCTCATGTGTTATGTCTAATGGCCAACATGGATATTCGGTCTCTTCGCGGTCTCTGGAACTTATCGACGCTCGCCGGCATATTCTGGCTGGAAGCGAACACAATGAAACTCGCAAAGAGCTCCGGGCAAGACTCCGTTCTAGTCTGAAGAGAGACCACAAATCTTCGTGGACTCATCGTGTGCTTGAGATGGAAGTGGCCGCTACCCTTGACAACCATCGTAAGTTATTCCGTCTGATACAGGAAACGGCCAGCAGAAGGCCTGTAGTTATTGAAATACTTTGTGATGAGAGTGGACAGCCTATCCACAATTTGTCAAAACCTTTAGAGCGTTGGGCTGAGTATTTTGAAGAGCAATTTAATCGGCTAGAATTGTTCGATTCTTCGCTGGCCAATGATCGCGCTGCTCTGTGGACTGTTGCTTTGGATCCACCCTCTCTCTCAGAAGTCAAATGTGAGCTCGGACTGTTGAAGTTGAACAAAGTCGCGAAACCAGATGATCTTCCTCGAGCTCTTTTTAAATTCAGAGGCTCTGCTCTTGTTGATGCTTTACATAAATTATTGGTAAACTGTGGGAGCAGGAAACTGTCCCAACCGGCTAGATCCGCTCCGTCATTGTTCGCATCATCAAAGGAGGCTCGCGTTCGGAATGCGGCAACCATAGAGGAAGCAGTCACCATGGCCTCCACATTGTTCGCCTCCATAATCTTTTACAGGCTGACTGGCGCTCGTGAAAGCCAGATTCGTGAAGAGCAAACCGGGTTTCCTTGGTGTCGTGGCTGCATCAACCACATCTTCGCTTTACGTCAATTGTTGGAGCGCCGTCACACATATTGGCGGCCCACCGTAGTCCTGTTCCTCGACATCAAAGGTGCCTTCGATTCGGTTGATCGATTGGAATTGTTTACTCAGGAAAGGTGTGTCCAAGAAATATGTGAATATTATCCGAGCATTATGCGCGCGTAGTACGAGCAGATTGTGGGCTTACGGCAAGCTGTCGCCACCCTTTAAGATCTCCAACGGTGTGAGACAAGGATGCCCGTTGTCAACTTTGCTATTGACGAAGTCATCGAGATCGCATTTACGGGACATTATTTAGAAAATGTGGGTCTGGTCCCAGGAGAACGACTTCTTGACTTGGAGTATGCGGACGACATTGCGCTCATCTGTGACAGCTTCCAGACGTGCCAACCTGCACTGGACAGATTAGCACTGGTTGTCAACCGCTTCGGGCTTTGCTTTGCACCATCGAAGTGCAAAGCTTTCCTGCAAGATTGGCCTGGTCCGCCTTGTACGCTGACCCTTGGTGGGGATCAGCTAGAAGTCGTTCAGAAATTCAACTACCTGGGAAGTTGTATCAGCGCCCTTGGGATTGAAAACGAGATCACGAACCGTATAGCAAAAGCTCGAAGTGCTTTTGCTAGTCTTCGTCACCTATGTCGGCGGCGCGACATTACTTTCGTCCTGAACGGTAGAGTGTACAGTGCAGTGGTACGTTCGACCTTACTGTACGGTTGCGAAACCTGACCCCTAAGATCGGTAGACATAAAGATGCTATTTACGTTCGACCATCGGTGCATTTGCAGTTTGGCTCACATCTGATGGGAACACCGCGTAAGTGACGAGCTTGTTCGACGCCTTATTTACGGCACAGAAAAAGGAACTGAACCGCTCAGCACCGTCATTTCACGCACCAAGCTCCGATGGCTGAGCGCATGCCAGCCCACCGACTTCCACGACGTGCGTTGTTTGCGCGCTATGGATGTGGATGAAAGAAGAGGAGGGGTGGCCAAACGATGACTTGGCCGAGAGGAATGAAGGCCCTCACTTCGGAGCTGGCCTCGATTGGAGCTTCAAGGCTCCCTGTTTGTGGTCCAAAAGACGGTGAAAACGTTTGGCTGGATACACTTGCTGACATGGCAAGGAGCCGACCTCAGTGGCGTTCCTGCTGTGAGTTTCTTTGTACCTCCCCATCCCTTTTAGCCCTTCTCCCTCTATCGACGATCTCACTTCGTAGCGTAAAACAATAATTTTTCTTTTTGCCTAGTAGCTGGCTGGTAGCTGACCGGAACGATACCTATCCGTTGCTAGTAGCTCAGCTGGCATGCAACTGTTGTATTTATCTTCCTTTACCTTTATGTATTGCGGCACAGTAGCTGTGTTTCCCACCTCTAGCTGACGTGTATAATGATGATGACGATCCATGAGTACTATACATCGCACTCCATCGTAAGAAATGGTAGATATCGACCTACACCCTCGTCGACAGATCGAGTCCGATGTCCATTGAAGCTGCTACACTGGAATCCAAGAAAGCAGAGCTACAAATAGTCGGTCTTAAAAATGGGTGTTGTTTAAGTTAACCTTCCTTGAATGACTTATGTTTCCACACTCTTATCAAAAGTAGAAACAATGCACATTTCGTTTTCGCTGATGCCATTGATCTGTACGCTACGAAACTTGTTCTACAACGCCGTTTTCCGCTGCTTTTTCCCTTCGAGGCGCTTACATCACCAGTCCTTCTCTCCTTCTTTTCAGCCATTGTGCTTTTGATCTTCCAGTCAATACTTCTGCCACTTGGGCGGCTGTTAACCATCGGTTTGTCCTGGAATTATGCTTTCTGCTTGAAACTGGCTTTTCTTTTTACCTTGGGCTTCTGGAGCCGTTGAGAAGCGTGTGATTTGAGAGATTGTCTGAAGCTATTCCAGTACATAACAGAGTGAAGCACCTAGTCGGTTTTCATTTGGCGCAATCGTTTGCTGTCCCGGTGGTGGAGTGCAGGTGTACCTCATGGATCATCGATGGTCGCATGACAGATTACGTGAACATCCTTAAGTGTTCATACACCTTGAGCTTGCTTAAAATTTCCGCTATACTGAGCTTCTGACTTGTTCGGATTACCCGCTTGCGCACTCATGTACCCAGGCGTATGAACTGAGCAATCAGTCACCGGCTCCCAATGGGCGCGATTCCCTTAATTCGCTCCGCTGCCTTGCGGACAGGCTATTCAGCCAAAGGCTCGGGGTGGTGTCCCCTAAGTCAACACCCTACTTCGGCTTGGGCAACCGGGTAGTATCTCGCCCTCTGAGGAAACCATGGACATTGTTGTGCTGTGTTTTATTTTACTATTTCTGTACCCTCGTTTGGATCCCATGGTTTCTGATGGTATTATGTCTATTCGTAGACTTTTGAAAATATATTGAAAATATACATTCATGTACCCATCACTTAAAACCCTGTCTGCCCTGATAACGCTGCACAGCATCAGGTTGATGTTTTTGATGTCCGGACTGCGGTTGGTTGGACCATAGGCAATATACAAGAAGGTCAGTCGCACAGACTGTTCTAACCACAGGGGTATTAGCCTAACGCCAGTTGTGACAAAACTACTGGCCTCGATTATCGTTCGTCGCCTCACTGCGGAACGGGGATCTCGGATTAGGGAAGAACAGGCTGGTTTCCGCTCAGGACGTGGCTGTATAGACCATATATTTACTTTGCGGCAGGTGCTAGAGCAGCGGCACGCATACCGCAGACCGACAATAGCTGTGTTCCTCGATTTCAGGAGTGCGTTCGATTCAGTCGATCGATCGATTCTGTTCGAAATACTTGCGCGGAAAGGTGTTCCTACGAAATATGTGAACATCCTTCGTTCTCTATACTCGAACACTACAGGCCGCGTCAGGGTCTACGGTGTCCTGTCGGATAGCTTTCCGACCACAAGTGGGGTTCGTCAGGGTTGTCCGATTTCCCCATTTTTGTTCAATTTCGTCGTGGATTCTATCATGGAGTGTTCCCTTGCGGAATCTCACGATGTAGGCGTTGAAGTGCTGCCTGGTGAAAAGTTAGTTGATCTAGACTATGCGGACGATATCGTCTTTTCGACAATATTGCGGCGGCCCAACCGACCCCGAATAGCCTCTCTGTAGTACTCCCATTATTTGGTATGCACTTCGCACCTTCAAAGTGCAAAGTGTTGCTTCAGGACCACCAGCCACTTGATGACCCTTGATTATGACGCGTGGCAGTGAAAGCCGCAAGGAAGCTGTCTCGGCGATGCCGCCTTATCTTTGCACGATAGCCATCTGTTTGTGACGGTACGTTGTCTACACAAGGTGTAGGCGCCTTGACCCTGAATGTTTGCTTAGGGCATTAAGGTTTTCAAGTAAGTCCCCTTCTCTCCCTCTTCTTATTCTTTATTTCATAGGTCCTCATGGTTGTATGGCAGCGAAGTATCAGTTCAAATGGCTGATGTACTGCTGTTGATGATGATGATGACCTCTTGAAGCTTCCTAACGAGGAACTGGAGGTGGTTGATCAATTCACTTATCTTGGCAGCTGCATCAGCAATGAAGGGCGCATAGAAACTAAAGTCAGCTCACGCATTGCAAAAGCCAGAGCTACCTTCTTGAACCTGCGACATCTTTGTCGACAGAAGGAAGTTTCCCTTCATCTGAAAGGCCGTGTATACAAGGCCACAGTGAGGGCCGTCCTGCTCTATGGTAGTGAGACTTGGCCGCGTCGGTCTGAAGTTCTGAGACGCCTTCAAGTCTTTGATCATCGTTGTCTGCGAAGCATTTCTGGAGTCGGATGGCACCAGGGTGTCCGCAACGATGATGTGCGTAGGCGAGTACTAGATGGTGATAATCATGCTAGCTCCCTAGAACAACAGATAGCACTGAATAAGTTGCGTTGGCTCGGGGACGTGCTACGCATGTCTAGTCACCGCTTACCTAGAAGGGCCTTGTTCAGTCTGCCAGGTGTAGGATGCCGCAAGGTTCGAGGTGGACAGAAGTTGACTTGGCAGCGGGGAATGAAGTCACTGACGACCAAACTGGGTTCCGTTGGTCCGTCTCGCCTTCCGGGTTGGAGTCCACGTGACTCGGCTTGTGCTTGGCTCGAGACTTTACAGGACATGATTCGCAGTAGACACCAGTGGCGCGTCTGCTGCCGTCTTCTAATCGGATTGCCTGTTTAAAGTATGTTTGGTGCTGAGTTATCTGCGGGGTAATGGCTGATTATGACGCGTGGCAGTGAAAGCCGCAAGGAAGCTGTCTCGGCGATGCCGCCTTATCTTTGCACGATAGCCATCTGTTTGTGACGGTACGTTGTCTACACAAGGTGTAGGCGCCTTGACCCTGAATGTTTGCTTAGGGCATTAAGGTTTTCAGGTAAGTCCCCCTTCTCTCCCTCTTCTTATTCTTTATTTCATAGGTCCTCATGGTTGTATGGCAGCGAAGCATCAGTTCAAATGGCTGATGTACTGCTGTTGATGATGATGATGATGGTGATGATGATGATGATGTTGGAGCATAGGCAACAGCCATAGGCCCACAGTTTCTAGCACTGTTCCACCTGGTCATTCTTGTCGGTTTTGCCATACTTTGTGCACATAGGTGTCTTTCCACGGAAGTTCCGTGCTATTAGGCGTTGCAGTTGAGCACTATACCCGTTTTGAATCGATTTGCGGTTGCTGCATCAGCGTCTGAGGCGCGTAGCTGATGACGAGTGTATAATCCAGAAGCCCTTTATTTCAGTAACAGGGTGCAAGCTGCGTATTCTAGTTCTTGAAGCGCAGTGTACAGCAGCACCCATGCTACTTGGTGTGTGCTAACACAACCTGCTTTTTATCTCTCTCTCTCTCTCTTTGTGTGTCTCTGTGGTTATAATTGTCGAGCGGTATCAAAGAAACCGAGAACATTGGCCTTTTAAGGGGTCATTGGTAACAGTTGACGGATATGCGCTGTGGTTACCTTGATGGAGATGGCAAAGCTTCATTAGTAATGCGGCTCCCACACTACGCACTGGATTTGGAGCGTTGCCGGAAGAGCAGTTGAAAAGGAGAGGTTTTGGTGGTAACATGCTTTCTCTTACTTAATCTTCCGTGTGCAGCCATTGAGACCACTTTTTGACATCACACTACGGCACTTACGGTCTGAGGAATAGGTCATGATTTGGTTGAACGGAGATACTGCTAAAGCACCGAAACCTAGAGGGGAAATTAGTCTTCGTCCAAGCTGTTTGGCTTGAGATCCGGTCCACAAGAGTGCATGTATAGGATGACGGTTCGTAACTTGGACCATGTGTATAGGAATGATCCCCTCTCCCGCTTCAACTGCCAGCTTGGTGAACCGCTTGACGTTTGCTACTCTCATTCTATTGAGCAAGTGCGCAAAACGCCACTTTCCATTTGGTTCTCCTCCGTTATCCTATAAAGTGGGACACATGTTTCTGTTTTTTGTGATTGTTATTCGTCGCTCCTAGCCCTTATCGCTGCTGCAACGCTTCTATTTAAAGTCGTGTAGCGATAACTACAACAGTCCAAGCCGTTATGGATGTAGTTGTTTACGAATATTCCCCTGTCCTTTCATATGCCCACTCGCAGGTCTACTCACTTTCTGTCCTATTTTACACTTCACACAAATTGCTTTCATGTCTCGCCCAACACATTGCGTATGCTTTGCGTTACATCATGTGGCACCTACTATGATTCCTCGTCATGTTCACTCTCTGTTAACTGTGCCTACTTCCCAACTTTCTTGTTTTTATTTTTCAGTGTCATGACGGAGGCCAGTGACCATACAAATGACCCGGTATGCAGTTTGTCTTTTTGCTTAAGTGATGTCTCCACCTCAGCTCTCTCGTACCTTGTTCCTTTGCATTGCATTGGATGCCCAACTGCACTCTTGTTTCATTGTGCTTTAACAATCATTTGTGTAATACTAGGATTGTTTTGACCGATGACGATGCCGTTCGAGTTGTCTTTTATTGGTGAATATCGTTTGTATGAAATAACCTGGCAACGAAATATTGTTGCTTCATTTTTTAAAAAGTCCTATTTATTTTCTGCTTTGTAGGTCAAATAGGTTGGACATTCGTAGTGTGCAATTGTATGCTCACCCACCAACTAACTTACTCAATACCCCTCCAGTAAAATTCACTTGGACACCCTATGTTTGTTCTCCATGATACCGATTATCAGACATGGTGAGGCTGTAGGGACTCACATAAGTTGCAGATTCACTGTCACATCTTTCGCGTCACTGAAATGTTTTTTGCGGGGGCCCGCTGTTTAGCTCCTGCTTTATTCGCTTTAGCTGTGACTCGTTTGCAACGCACTCACCAGTGCATTCGCTTTTTTGTCTTTCATCTTCCAGCTTCAGCAGCTTAATAGCCTGATTTCAAAAGCCGAGCTATTTAGCAAAATTAAGTCCACGGGTGCTGCTAGTGCCAAGGCTCTTACTAGTCCCTTGAAAGCTGCTCCAGAGCTCCTCGTTCATTCACCGACGTCTGATGCGGCTGGCGAGTGAGTTTTCGCATCTTATTATATTCTTTATTTATAAACTAGTCATCGTCACAGGCGTACCGAAAGAGAAGAGGATGAAGAACTCTTAACGGAAACTAAGAAAGGTGTCATTGCTATCCAACGCTTTGAAGCTTCTCCTTTTTGTAGGTTCACCTCTTCATTTTTACCTCCGTTTTAGTTGTAAAAGGTGGAGAAATGCGTGACTATCAAATTCGAGGCCTCAACTGGATGATTCAGCTGTACCATGATAATATCAATGGCATTTTGGCCGATGAAATGGGCCTAGGAAAAACTTTGCAAACTATCTCCATGTTGGGTTACCTCAAGCATTGCCGCCATAAGTCAGGACCTCATCTTATCATTGTACCAAAGTCAACTCTGATGAATTGGATGAATGAGTTGAAACGATGGGTCCCCACATTGCGTGCTGTCTCCATCATTGGGAGTCTGGAGGAACGTGCTGTTCATATCCGCGATGAAATACTATCTAAAGATTGGGATGTCCTCGTCACGAGCTACGAGATGTGTATCAAGGAGAAGAGCGTGCTTCGGAAATTTCACTACATTTACCTCATCATTGATGAGGCACATCGAATAAAAAATGAGAAGTCCAAATTATCGGAGATCGTACGCCAGTTTCGATCACAGAATCGTCTTCTCATTACTGGGACTCCATTGCAAAATAATCTGCACGAATTATGGTCCTTGTTAAATTTCCTAATGCCTGAGTTATTCGCCTCTTCGGATATGTTTGATGACATGTTCAAAATGAATTCTGAACAAGAAAAGGATCTCGTTCATCGATTGCATTCGGTAAGTTAAAACCGTAATGCAAAACCCATTTTCAGGTTCTGAAACCGTTTTTGTTACGCCGGATCAAAGCTGACGTGGAGAAAAAGCTGCCACCGAAAAAAGAGTGCAAGATATACATAGGATTATCCAAAATGCAACGTGAGCTATACACAAAAATCCTCATGAAGGATATCGACCTTGTAAACTCCACTGGACACAAAGCAGACCGTGTCCGTCTTCTTAATATTCTGATGCAGCTGCGGAAGTGTTGCAATCATCCTTATCTTTTTGATGGGCTTGAACCCGGGCCTCCGTTCACCACCGATCAACACTTAGTTGACAACTGTGGTAAAATGATGTTGTTGGACAAGCTTTTGGCCAGATTAAAGGAGCAAGGCTCACGGGTCCTCATCTTCAGTCAGATGACACGCATGTTGGATATTTTGGAAGACTATTGTTTGTGGCGAGGCCATGAGTATTGCCGATTGGATGGGAGTACGAAGCATGAAGATCGACAGGTAGGTGCTAAAGTCCATGTTTTACTCAATAAACCTTTGTCTAAGTGTCCATACTCACGGCTACACATGGCGATGCATGCCCTTAATTAACAGCCGTACAAATGAACCAATAATACTGCACGATAGCCAGATGTTTGTGATAAGGTATAGGCGCCCTGACTTGTAGTATTTGTTTGGAGCATTAGAGTTTTACAGTAGGTCCCCCATTTTCCCACTTATTGTTCTTCATTCCGTAGGTCACCGTGATTGTACGGCAGCGAAGCATCAGTTCTAGTGGCTGATGCACTACTGTTGTTGTTGTTGCTGTTGTTGTTGCTGCTGCTGATGGTGATGGTCAGTTTATCAATCTATTCACACTATTAAGAAACCGACCATCCTTTCTGTCCTAAACAGGGTAACCCATTTAATTCTCCCCGTATTCACTTGTCTTTTCGGACGTTTGCTTACTTCCCTGAGTTCCCAACGTTACAGCTTTACATCAATATACTCTAGTGCTACTGTTCGGGCGGTGTTACCATATGGAAGCGATTCATGGCCAGTTCGCGTAGTGAACATTCACCAGCTCCCGGTGTTCTACGATGGGTGCTTGAGGAGGACTGCTCGTGTGTGGCGGCTACAACGTATTTACCATAATGAAGTCGGACGTCGTGTCTCAGGGAATGCGAGTATTCCCTTCAGCAGCCTGGTTTTACTGCGCCAGTTAAAATGACTCGGTCAAGTCCTGCGTATGTCACCTGAGCGTTCGCCCTATCGCGCTTTGTTTGCTCGTGTAGGACTTCGCTGGAAGAGACCACGCAATGGTCCACCATCCACCTGACGGCAGCATATGAAATCGTTGACTTTATGTCTTGTCACCGTTGGATCCACGCCTGCCTAGTTGGAGACCAAAGGACGAGGAGTGCCGATTGCTGGAGACAATTTAGGATATATATATATATATATATATATATATATATATATATATATAATCTTCAGCACGGCCAGTAATACAATTGGCATAGTGCCACAACGTATGGAAAATACAATAAATGTACGAAGCTAAAAGAAAAACACGGTGTTCATGGGAATAGTGAGTCACAACAAGTCCGCCATTGTGCCCGACTTCTTGACATGTCCGACAGTGTTTCCAGCCATGCGTGTTCCGGATCCTTCACACTCCAGCCAGGGAGCCGATAGCGCCCGACCACGACTAACTTTGACGCTAGCTCCTTCATGCTCCTGGCCCAAGCCAAATCTTGACCACCTAGTTTTTGCTTCCAGCCGACTTCTGCTTGCGCGAAGAGGGCACGGCGAGGTAAGTGATGAGTAGTCGTGCGAAGAACATGTCCTGGCCACTGAAGTCTGCCGGCGAAGTATGTCTGATCTGAAAATCCTCCGTCGAACATCTTCATTATTAACGATGTTACCATCGTACACCTGCAATGCTCCGTAGTCAGCGGTGCTCAAAAACAGACGGCGTCTCAACCTCTTTTGCACGAACAGGCCGTTTCGCAGCTATAAAGCAGAACCGCCCTCACTGTGGCATTGTAACCTCGCCCTTTCAGAAGTGGACTCAGATCACCTCGACGCCAGAGATGGCGGAGACTGACAAAAGCAACCCGAGCCTTTAAAACAGGCAAAGGGACCTCATCTGTTAAACCATTAGCGCTAAGGTAGCTTCCAAAGTAAACGAACTTGTCTACCATTTCCAATGAATGACCTGCATGGGTAAGGGTAGGAGCAGCGCTTAACAAGTTTTTCAGGAAGGCCTTGCACTTCGATGATGTAAACGTCATTCCAAACTGGGTAACAAACATCTCCAACCTACACAGGACATTTTGGACGGCCTGTGAGGAATCGCAGATTACGGAGATGTCGTCTGCATACTCCAAACCGCGAAGACGGACCCCCGTAAGCAGCTCGGCGCAGCTGGTTGCGCAGTTCTCCAGAGAACACAAAGATTTCATCTGTAGCGAAATCGAACTAGAAAGGGATGCTGGGCAACCCTGTCTCACGTCACTGGCGATAACAAATGGGGCGAAAGTCCGCTGTACACCCGCACTCGGCCCGAGCTTTGAGGGTAGATGGCTTGAAGTAAGGTGACATACTTCTGGGGCACTCTCCTTTTCGGTAGAAAACTCCAGACAGCAGCTCTCTCGACTAAGTCAAACGCGGCTCATATATCTGAGAAGACAACGATTGTTGACTGGCCAAATGTTTGCCGACGCTCGAGTATTTAGCGGAGTGTAAAGATGTGATCGATGCAACTCAGTCCTGAGCGGAACCCAGTTTGTTCTTCACGTATGCTCTATTCGCGTACCAGGCTGAGCCTCCTTAGAAGCAGAACTGCAAGCATCTTGGAAGCAACAGATGAGACTAATCCCTTTGGTTGGCGAAATCAGTTCGGGTACCCTTTTTAAAGACATGCACGATATCCGCTAGGCTCCAATCAGATGGAATAACTTCAGTGACCCAGATCTCTTGGAGTAGAGAGGTTAACTCTTGAACAAGTGATGCGCCGCCATCTTTGTATATAGCCGGAGGGAGTTCATCTGGGTCAGGGGCTTTGTAGTGCTTTAAGGGACGAAACTCATGGGCAACCTCAGCGTCAGATGGTGGTGAAGCGTCTAGACACCATGAAGCGCTCTGTGCTCCAGAATGGGGACTCATCGGTGCTACTGGCCAATTAAACTGCTGCTCAGAGTGCTCGACCCAACGCTGGAGTCGGCGTTTCTGACAGTGGATTGGCTCGCCATTGATTTCGCATAAAAGTTCTTTTACAGTCGATTTTTTGCCACCAGTAGATCGGATCAGGAGAAAAGCTTACGAAAATTCTCCGCGGTGGCCGCTTGCTCCATCTCAATGACCCGCTGCGTCCACCAGGCCACGTGATCTTCCCAGAGAAGCTCTTTGAGCTCAGTGTTAGTAGTCTTGCGTGGTGAATGGTATTTAACGCTGGTAGAAATTTCTTGACGGGCTTCGACAACTTGGAGGGATCGTACAGAGATTCAGTGGTTGACAGGACTACTGGTGAAGCCACAGACCAGGGTTGCAAAGTTGTACATGGCGCCGCGGATGTGTGTCCAGTGTGTTTCAATGCCAGTGCATGGGGTAGTCTTCAGCCGTCAGTCCAGGACATCCTGAAATGCGTGGAGAACGTTTGGGACAGAAAGCTTAGCTACGTCAAGCCGTTTCTGGCGACGCTGCTGGGAGTCACCAAAAGTAGCGCAACTTTGGCACGCACCAGCGCGTGATCCGAAGTGAGCTGAGTACCCCAGATTGTTTTGCAATCCTGTATGTTACCCTCCGCCCAGCGATAGCCAATAGCGATATGGTCAATTTGTGTCCACAGCTGGCCAGGTGATGGGGCTCTCCAGGTGGCGCGTTGGCGCCTGGATCCCTGAAAGCTAGTGCTCAACAGAAAGAGTCCCTGGTCAGCGCAAAGCTGAAGTATTCGATCACCATTGTCAGTTCTGCGAGTGCCATGGCCCTGTTGACCACCGAGTTCATGTTCGTCGACTTCAAGTCTACCGACCTGCGCGTTCAAGTCCCCGCTGAGCACCACTATGTGAGTACGGCGCATTTTACAGAGAAGGTCGGCCAGTTGACAATAGAACTCATCTTTAACTGACTTCGGGCTGCAATCTGTGGGAGGGTACGCTGCGACAATGAATAGACAGCGTCTGCTGGTTTCGCGCCTGGACAGTCGCATTGAAGTTTCTAGTCGGATTGGGCATATTTGACTGTTAACAAGGATCCAGACTAGTAGCACGGCCTCAGCACGAGTGATCAACACAACCCCCACACCAGCATACCCAGCGGCTTCGGCGGTTGAGTCTCCAGATAGGCGCAAAGTGAAAATGCCAGTGGAGTTCGCAGATGGTGAAACTAGTCGCAACGTCGTGCTAGAGTCCTGTAAACGGGTCTCCCTGAGACAGCAGACATCAATGGCCGTAGTTTCTAGAGTGCGAGCAAGGCTTGACTGTGATCCAATCTGCATCTGCGTCTGAACATTGAAGTTTGCCTTCTTGAAATGGGAATTGGGTGCTAGAAATGGCTTGTTAACACGACTTGGAGCATCCTCGGACCTAAGTTCCTGATCCGTAATGGCGAGAACCTTCGACTAAGGCGGCATGGCGTCGTAAATTTGAAAGCGGAGGGCGAAGACCAAAATTGGGGGTTGAACAAACGTGGAATAAAGGGAGTAAACGGTGGTGCGGTAAAACGTGGTTTGGCAGATTCTGCCACCAGCACTTCGTATGATGAGCGCAGTTCGAGAGAGTGAGAGCAGATAGAGCGCAAGTGGAGAGAGCGAGCGAAGAAGTATGGCAACATTGATCCATAGGTTGTGTGGTCATGGTGCTTTCCGGTTCCCCAATCCAAGCAAGGGGGTCGACTTAGGGGACTTTACCCGGAGCCTTGGGTCATAATAGGCCTAACCCGTAAGGCAGTGAAGCGATTGACGTATACCGCGAACTGTTGGGAGCCGGCTATCTAGGTGAGGTTAAAACGGCTTTCGAGTAGAGGCAACTACTCAGGGCACCCAAAGAGCCCGAGTAAAACAGCAAGGAGGCCAAGACACCCTGGACTACCGAACTCGCTGCCAATCACGGAGGCTGTTGACTGCCAAGTGGCTCGTACGCCTTCATAGGAGCCGGTGGCCATCGAGATTGTTCATCCGCCCTCCGTTGAGTGCTCACTTCTGTCACCAGAAGTATGTGGTCAGTGACCCTATACCCGGTAACATTGGCTATGACACAGCGTCTTCCGGGCACTTGTGGTATCTAATGAGGAACCAGGTGACCAGCCCAGAACCTCCCACCCCCTAGGATGCTGCCGCTGATTGTCCGCGACTGCTTATTTATCTGGTCTGCGAATAGCCGAGACTTATTCACAGTTACCTTCACAAAGAAGGCGTTCCCAGACTCGCAACCTGGGGACGCGCCCGATGGCGTGCAGCCGCCGAACCAACCAGTAGTCAGTTCACTTCCGGGGACATGGCTCGTACTCGAAACCAGTGG